GGTAGTGACACCTTTGGTTTCTTCCACCTTGCTTTCATCAGTCAGTGTGACGTAAATTTGCACTGGTTGTTCAACATGGAACTCGGATGAAAGCGAGGTGGAAGAAACCAAGGATGTCACTTTACTACCGCGGTGGCTGACGTCAAAAACGTGATTTTTCAAAGGGCGATATCTCGGTTATCATTGAACGTAGGGAGTTGCTGTTTGGACAGATCCTATAATTTTTGACTGATTTACAAGAATCAAGCATCAAAACATGATTTTGTAACCAGCGCAACTGACCCATTCTTCTTTCTAAGAATTTGGAGTCAGAAAACCCAATTCTAAAAAGGTGATCAGCGGCCCATGGCGGCAAATTTATGGGGCGGCAAATGTTGTAATTTTTCAAATGTAGGTATCAAGAAAAAAAATCTGATTCAGAAAAAAAATCACAAATGAGGAAAGGCGAAAAATTCTCTCATATCCTGAGAGTTGAAGTATAGTAATTTCTAATTTTTTCGTCTTTCGGTGATACAAGAGACAGCGCCTTTCATTAGTCTAGTTGAGAGAGAAACCAAACACGCAATTTGGCCTGGAGCGGCACGGCGCAGAGAGCAATGATGGCGAGAACTTGAGATGGAGAGGAGAAGCTCTATCGGCGCGCCGGTCAGCATGAAACACATATTAGCGCCTACAAGACTGCATGAATACTTCACGCATTGCGTCAAACGTAGTGCGGTCAACAGCGGTTGGCGTGAAACTCATAGTGCCTACAAGACTGCATGAATACTTCACGCATTGCGTCAAAAACAGTGCGGTCACTTGGTCAGCAGCAGTCAGCGTGAAACGCATAGCGCCTACACGACTGTAGGGATACTTCACGCATTGCGCCAAACACAGTGCGGTTGGCGCGGTGGCGGAAATTAAGATCATTAGACCACATTCATGTTTATTCTTATTCATAATTTTTTCGTTCTTTTCTTATAAATGAAAGGCATCGTCCACACAGAGATAGGTCTACGGAACTTAATTTTCGAGCAAAGTTCCGTGAACTTTTGCTAGTGTTGACAGGGCTTTCACAAAAATTGTTCTAAACGCGAGTAAACGCGTCTTATGTATTCCTCCTCCTCCGGCACATTCACCTGGTGGTTTCTATGGATGCTTCAAAATGAATGAGATGGGGCGGCAAAATACAGGCGGCCCATGGGCGGCAAGAAGGTAAATTCGGCCCTGTTTGCGGGGGAAAAGTTAGCTGGATCGCAAATCCTAGATAAACATCATAACAGCATGTCCAATGAAATGTAAAGAACAAAATAAGGTTTCTCTTTTCAATGAAAAGCGGACACGGAGAATAACCACAGTTAGCAAAGTTGTGAGTTCAGAAGGCGCTTTGCCTTTGCGGCTCTTAGGAATGAACCCTCGGTCGTGCGAACCGACCTTTTCGGTTAAGAGACCCAAACCGCGGTTCCGCCGAAGGTTCAGTTCAGGGAACGGACTAACTTCGGTCGACATGGAACATGTATGCGTGTGCTCCCCACGTACCAAACTTTGTCGGTTCCTAGAATTGAGCCCCGCCCCGCCTCGGTGCATCAAATTAATGATCGGTCACTGTCAACCGAATTTGTTCATCCCCTCGATGGACACAGTTTTAACCTTGAGATATTTTCATAGGTTTTAGCTTTAACTGTTTGATAGTTGATGGTGGTAAAAATAAGAGGCCATCGTGTCTCTCGCTTGTAGGTAAGAGTAATTTATTATATCCCAGATCCCTCTTTTAATCGGTAGTTTTATACTTCACAGCTTTTATAAAACGGTATGGTTGCTCTCTGCTCACATGAGCACAGCCGACGGTGAAACTACCAGACCACGTATCTTGGTTTGCAACGTTGCAGACTTCCTGCCATTTTTTCTTTTTTTGTAAATGGAAAACTAATTAACGTCAATGGAGAATTTGCACGCAAATTTTTTATCGCTTCATCTGAGTGTGCTTAAAGAGCTGATTTTGCAGTATTTTTTCCAATTTTGCTCTGGTATGAGAAATAGTATCAAAATAGATTTAAAAGTGAGAAAATGCACCGCCTGATGACGCCATCTGACGGCGCGGCATTTCCGGTTTAAACACATGTATTTTATAGAGTCCCTTTATACCCAGAGTAACGACAACTCGATTATCAGCTGACTGGCAGCCGACCTTGGCTGGCCATGGAGGCCGAAACTAGTGCACTCAAACGAACGATATTGGGGGATAAGGATCAGGAATCCTGCGATGTCTGTCACACAGAAACAACAACATCAACAAATTGATCAATTACAAAGAAAATGAGATTGGTTTGTGAATAATTTC